GTATTTTTGGCTTGAAAGGCCTGCTCAGGGGTGGATTACGTTATTGAAGGGGGAAGCCACAGTTATCAGACAATCAATCGCGTGAACATATCCCTGGGCCACATCTATAACTACCTAAGGGTCGTTCAGCTCACCTCCTCTCTAGTGCACTTGCCCTGTTTGCATCAGAGCGATACACCTGCACCATTCCTAATCACCGTGTTTATCTGCTCAAAGTGATTCGCTGGTTTAGAGACGACATCTACAACCGTTTTGAAAAGCGCAATCAAGCAGAGAGAGCGATGTGAAAATGCTATGATATAAACAAAGCAAACATGGAACAACGAAGGGGTTAGTTACCGAAGTGATTGTCACGTGGGAAACCCTCATGGAGTCTCAGAGATGAAATTTACTTTCTACACTCCCTAAATGACCCCAGGAATCCAGACCCTCAGGGTGTCTGGACGGTTGAAATGGTCACGGACGGAAAGCGGCGGGTTTGTGACAAAAGAGGCATGTGGGAGCTACCCTGAAGCCGAGAGAGACGACGAAATGGCGGGAGGATAAGAAATGATGTGTGACTTTTTCTACATGTAATAAAACATGGTTTCCGTGGGAGCCTTGAGAATGATACAGCGGCAAAAACACCTTGGCGGCTAACTAGCTAGTTACATATTCTTTGCGAGGCTTTTCTAGAGTAACTAACTAGAGCTACTCAGCTTAGTTCACCTATGAGAATGGAGATAAATATCACATTGTGCACATCCAATGCTGTGGCATGACAAAAACAAAGACCACCATAAATCCTCCCACAAAGGTCAAGTTTATCGAAATGCCGAAATCATCACAGTCATCATGGATGTTCCATGGGTGCTCAATGTTTCGAAGGGACTTGTGGTGTGCATCCAGTAAATACCTAAAGAGGTAACTAATCGGGGAGGGCCATCGTTTCATCTCAAAAACAGGGAAGAGTAAGTGGCCCTTAAAAAAGAGTGGTCTTTCTTCAGAGGATGCTTGTATCATCAAACTCAAGATAGTTATTGTATACCAACTAGATACTAATATATAGATAGGGCTTTCATGCTGGTAGAGTTTCCCAGAAGCATAATTAGCCATAACTTCCAACGTGCTCAAGGTTCCAAGGTCTCCATATTTCAATTAGGACTGGTGTCAAATTAACGGCGACAGCTGATTGGCTTATTACAGGACGCATCTCGGAAGAACGCAGACCGCCCAGTTCTTCGGTCACATGAATATTCGACCCGCGAAACCTTAACATGGGTTTTTCCTCTTCGTGACTTCGAGACTTTTTGACTAGTTTAGGTAGTGGTATTGAACTGCTGTCGCTACGATGACGAGTTCATTAGAAGGGTCTTTTAACCCAATTTCGATCTCGAATCTCGAAGTTCTTTGGGACACCCTCTCAAGTGGCATCATTAGAGCGTGTGAACCCTTCCTCGGCCGTAGAAGGGCCGGACTATTAACTACCGAATCGGTGGTTTCATCCCATCTCCATAGGCGATACTTTCCATCATAAGCAATACAGATTCTTAGCTGCATTGTCCGCAACCGCCATTTACGAAGCTAATATAGGATAAGCATCAGAAATATGTAGCACTAAAGGTGCTGAGGGCCTCCATAACAGTCGGCCCTCAGCACATCTTTGAAGAGAGGAATTCTCTCAAGAATATCGGAAGCTCATGGGCAAAGTTCTCATCAAGGCCGCAACCACGTGTCTCAATTCTTTCTCGATCAATTCTAGCATACAGGACCCATGGAGATCATGTTTGCCTATTGTTCAATGTCCTAGGACATCACTTGGATTTCCAAGCCGCCAAGTATGAAAAAATGGAAAATTACTTTGTGAAGGCTCACCTTGGGCTTGAATTCCTCCACAGAGAAGTGTGATATCATTCATACCGGTATGGCAAATTACAATTTCCAGCCGTCCATTTATGATTCCGACATCTCCTATCTTATTGATATATCCTAAGCCAACAAAACATAGTTCTAGAGCTGGAGAATCCGAACAGAACGATTTCCCAGTGTCTGTCGGAAGTTCCCGGACGAATAGGCTCTCAACGTGGTGTTACAGCACCACTTCGTGAGGTTATCCCGACAACACTCGTCTCAGAAACACAAAATCTCGACATCAGGATAATTGATTTCGGCGTCGGTAGGCAGGCCATTTCAGTTTCATTCGTACATGAAGTTTATTATGGTCATAGCATCTTGGAGGGAAAAACATTTGTCGGATTTACTTCAGTCGTCCGTTCTGGGGGTTCCTGAAGTAACGATGGGCGCTCCCTGCGATGCTGGTGTGGTTATATGGAGTCTCGGGTGCCTTGTAAAAACTTCTTGTTCAATACAACTTCGCATCACAGAGCAATCCATTCTGGCTATATACTGTAACAGATTATGCAGCTTGTACAAGGAATATTTCTTTTCTCCGGAGAAGTATCATCCAGGGGAACGTGGACAGCTGAAGACCATCTAGCAAGAATGACTGAGAGATCCTTGGTCAATTTTTACTTCGCCTCTTAAGAAAATGTGCATCGCGCAACACACTTTTTTTTGATAAGCAAGGTAAGTTCTATTAATGTCAGTTTTGATATTGCGTCATCATTTTTAATGTGGCTTGCTTCTAGCATATCTTCACCGAATTTCTAATATGAAATCCACCAGCCTTAAACGCTTGGTAAATGGCAAAACGAAACATTTCCTAAAACCTATTAATATGTGCCCGACTCTGAAATCCAATTTTTATTGATTTATTAAAGGCATGCTTGAAATCGACCCAGGGCGTCGAAAATCCCACGGCTGACCTGCTGCAACACAATTGGATTCGTCTGTAGAATTTAGCAAAACAAGGCTGTAAATGAATTGAGAAGGCTGTAATGAAGATGAGCAACTCATCGGAATTGCAAGCAGCAAGCGAGGCAACATGAAACGGGCGCCTTTTCAATTATAGAGGATTAAATGTTCATTTAAACGTTAAGAAAATTGAGCATGAAGAACTTTTAAAGAGAATAGTTAAACTCTCTTACAAATATTTATATAAGTAGAATGTAAAAAAAATAAAGATATAAAACTATTTTAATAATGTTATTAAATAAATATAGAAGAAAACAATCGCTTTTTAAAAATCTAAAGGGAAATAGTTAGTATTAGTTGATTAAATGAAATAGAAGTTAATTATCAAATACTTACAGATATTGTTCAGGAAAGCGCACAGCCACATCTGTGAGGTCTACTTACATAATGAGGGTCAGGTGGGAACTTAACTAACTTAAGTTAGCCAATGAGGTGCAGCACAGCCATAGGTCTGCTTGCACTTACTCATTCTGCTCTCCCTCAGCCTCTCTCACTGCTAGCCTCCCATCCTCAACCTAACCTCGACCTCATTTTTCTCTCACCTCAATCCTCTCTCGTTTGTGAGGTTGATACTCTCCCAGAGTGCTTATCATCGCACTTCCTATCCTCCATTGCCTTCGTTGACACCCTATCTCCCCTTCTCTCTCCTTAATTTTACTCTCTGGTTGTTGAGTCTTCGTCTTCCTCTCCCAGATTCTCCAACATTCTCTCTCCTCCCAACCTGTCAACCACACGCAGCTACGACACAAAGGAACCCCTGATCCCATTGACTATATACTCCCATCGCTCTGTCATCCCTCCCTTCAGTGGCTGGGTTTGATAGAGGTGCTATATTTTGACGCCTAGGACTGTCGCAGGACCTATCCTTGGTCCATTTTTCCAGCGTGGAGAGAGCAGTCCTTACTCTGCCTGTTACACCTCCCTAATTGTTGCTGAGACTGGGCAAATCCAACACACTCTGTAAGCCCCTTATATGCATACCCATATCCCTTTGGATATTTCGCTCGTCATGCATCATGTGACTGTCATGTCGGACTATTACACTACACCTGGTTTCCCGAATTGTCAATTTCATTATTTGGAGGAGTCATCCGAACTAACCTATGCAAAGCCCCCAAGCAAGCATTATATGCCAAGCCTCAAATCACGGACGACCTTCAGCCTTGCGACCTTTACCAACCCAACTTAACCTCTCTCCCACCGCCATATTGTCTCCCCACATTCATCCTCCCGACTTGCTCCAAGACTTCAATCATCACTGCCCTTCGTGATGACCTCCTCGTCGTCAAATGTCGTCGGTGTCCACTACCGCGTGGGCAAAAAAATCGGAGAAGGCTCTTTCGGTGTGATCTTCGAAGGCACCAACCTGTTGAACAGCCAGCAGGTTGCTATTAAGTTTGTATGTAGCTTGGAATTCACTGCACAAGATTTCTATATCTATACAGATAGATCTGTGCTAATTACTTTGAACCTGACCTCAGGAACCCCGGAAAAGTGATGCTCCACAACTTCGCGATGAATATAGAACGTATAAAGTTCTCGTCGGATGCCGTAAGTCAAGTGAATGTGACCCTGAATTTCTGAAGTGACTTTGTTGTTGACATATTATCGTGATAGCTGGCATCCCCAACGTTTACTACTTTGGCCAGGAGGGCCTTCATAACATCCTTGTAATCGACCTTCTAGGCCCGAGTTTAGAGGATCTCTTCGATCATTGTAATCGAAGATTTACCATCAAGACAGTGGTCATGGTGGCTAAACAGATGGTACGTATCACCTCTCCTGCCATTTAAAATTATTGTAGTTTGTTAACTGTGTCCGTCCTGTTTAGCTTTCGAGAGTCCAAACGATACATGAAAAGAACCTGATCTATAGAGATATAAAGCCAGACAACTTCCTCATCGGCAGGCCAAACTCCAAGGCTGCAAATGTCATCCACGTGGTGGACTTTGGAATGGCAAAACAATATAGAGACCCCAAGACTAAACAACACATTCCTTACCGGGAGCGCAAGTCGCTGTCCGGTACCGCAAGATACATGAGTATCAACACTCATCTTGGACGAGAGCAATCACGACGAGATGATCTTGAAGCGTTGGGCCACGTTTTCATGTACTTTTTAAGAGGAGGTTTGCCATGGCAGGGCCTTAAGGCCGCTACGAACAAACAGAAATACGAAAAGATTGGCGAGAAGAAGCAGACAACCGCAGTGAAGGATCTATGTGAAGGATATCCTGGTATGAAACAGCTCTATTTATATTGATACTTGTTAAGATACGCTAATAAAAGCCCGAAACAGAGGAATTCAATAAATACTTGACGTATGTTCGTAATCTGGGATTCGAGGATACCCCCGACTATGATTACTTGCGCGACCTCCTTTACCCCAGGCATTGAAGAACACTGGAGAAGTCGAAGACGGCGAGTACGACTGGATGAAGCTAAATGGCGGAAGGGGTTGGGAAGCAGCCAAAGCAATATCCCACCCAACACCACCTCCCACACGTCGAATGTTCCAAAATACCTCAACTCCGTGATATTTCATGGAGCTTCAGTGCCCCGGGGACCGCACAGACCAGGTGTAACAGCTGACCGTTTAAACCGCCGCGCAACCCCCGCCCCCTTCTCCCGCGAAAGCAGGGAGTTGGGAAAAGCGCGAGAGCGGCAAAACGCCCCCCGGCGGGCCGCAAGTCAAACGTCAAAACGGAGCGGCGGGGGTCCTCGAAACAACACCAGCTGCGTCGACTCAGGCTCAATTTCAAAACTCCAACACACACCTTCCCGGTCGCATAACCACCCCTGGTGGTAATAATCATACCATGAATGCTCAACCCGCCACGCAACAAATGCGACCGGCGCAAGACCCTGATCCGACGTTCGTACAAAAGATAATGAAAGCTTTGTGCTGTGGTAAGTTTTTAACCAAGCTTCGTCCCCTTCTCACATTTGTACCGCATTCGGGCGTTCTAATTCGTTTCACATAGGTTGAAATTCACCACCTGCAACTCTGGTGCATTTCATTGCTATCCCAATCAATACTTCAAACATCTACCTCTGTCCTGCGCACACCTTTCCCTTAATCAACCTAATTCTTTCTATTTCCAGTCGGTAGAGCCATTTGAATGAATGGCATCGGTATTTGGGCTTCCTGTACCTAATATACAGCTTTTCTCTCAGCTCTTGCTGGATCGACTAATTGCATAGCTAAAACGCCCACTTACGAAAATGGGCACACGATGGAGTTTTCCTTTTTCATTTCGTTCATAATATTTTCCTTTTCCTTTCCCACACCCCACGATCTTCACATTCTTGTCCTCGTTTTCTCTTTTTCCCTTTTCACCTTTTCAAGCGAAGATAGGAGTTGGTGTGGTCAAATATATATTTTTTCTTTCCTCGTTGAGAAAATAATTTCCTCCAAGTCAGTTAGTTTCACACTCTCACTTCTGTCCCACATGTTCTCCTTTGTATCTGTGTGTTATACGGACGGCCTCCTCAACTCGTCCCATCGCATCCCCAACATGAAAAATGTCCCACTTTAAAAGAAGTGAACGCAAACGCGAAATCCTTCTGTCTCTTTGAGAAATCCGCAAAATTATCGCGGCCGCATTTTTATTTTCTCTGTTTAATATTAGACTTCTATTTCCATTTTGTCTCTTTTACTCTGCTCTTTTCCGCCCCCTCCATCGTACTCCGCCAATTTTCCTTCTTGAAGGCGTTTCTTTAATCATGCAGTCCACACCCAGCAGTTTCCTATCGAAACCGTAACTGCTTCTGATCATTACGGCGTATCCATGTCGCAGATTTCATTGCACATCAGTCCCAGTGGAGTGTATATGGTTGCAGTCATAGCAAGCTGCCACTTGTTCGATATGATATTTTGACGGGGTTTGTTAATTCAACACTAGCGTCGCTTTGGGTTGGATTGGGGGTGTTCAAAATTACCTCCCCCCCCTCAATCTGGAACATGATAACTTCAATGCCGCGATTGGCATTTCGTGGACTTCATTGAATACATGAGGAAATGTCCCATGATGGCAGCAGCGGATGAGATGAGCAACCCCTATATTTTTGCGTCTCTTTTATTTCCTTTTCTTCTCCATTCCTTATCTTCTTGTTGCGAGCTCCATCTCCCTCCCCCTTTTCTCCCTGTTATAGTTTTCCCGAACTGCTTTAGTTTCCTTTGTTTCCTTTCGCCTTACTCTCCAGGGTGTATTGATTTCATTGCCTGTAGTTCCCTGCTTTTCTTTCCTGTCATGTTTCTTCGCGTGGTTATATTTTATAGGGTCTTTCCTGCAGTGTCCAGAACTTTTTTTTTTTTTGTAGAGGATGCACGCACAGAGCTGGATACATCGGATATTCATAAATACATAAGAACCCTTGTGCAAATAGGATAATTAATTATATTGGTTTATTGAACGAAAGTTATTGTTTGAAACGTCTACAGAGGAAGTGTGTAAATATTTGCTTGAAACAGGATTAATGCAGTGTGCCCTTGACTTCATGAGTCCGGGTGGTGCATTTAAAAAGCTAAAATTTTTG